TCGACTTAGTTGAGTACTAAATATGACTATGAATATGCGCCAATGTGTTAGTTTCCATCACACAATTCTTGTAGGGTGTTTTCGTTGTCAGTCCGAACATGGTATAAGCGAGTTTGATCGATTTTCAAACCGATATCATTAAAAACACCGATGCAACGTTTGCATCTCTGTTCCAGGTTTTTACTCACACGTTTTTCCTGCCGATTCGTAATAAAGCTAGAAATTGTTTTCTTGAAATTTGTTGCATTTATTTGATAGAAACAGGAAAAAATGGTAAGGACTGCAAATTGGCTTCTTAATATTTTATATTACTTTCAATATCTTTCAGGGCAAGAGTAAAAAAGCTTTCATCGATCGCAAAAATGCCTTGACGTTTCATTTGGTTCACAGAAGTCAACATGATCCTTTGGTGGTCGACGATACTGCGCCCCAACGTGTACTAGTGGAGGCGGTATCTCAAAAGCATACAAAAACATCTACCGACCCAGTTGATCCTGCTAAACGTCAAGAGGAGCAACAGAAATTTGGTATATTCTTTGACGACGACTACGACTATCTACAACATATGAAGAAGCCAGAGCAGGAAGTTGTTTGGGAATATGTAGAAAACCCAAATCACGCGCGGAAAAGAATTGAGGAAGGTCGCGTTACCACTGCACCCAAATTAGCGCTGCCAAGCTCGGTATTTGCCTCTGAATTTGAAGAGGATGAAGGAATGCTAAACAGGGCTGCAGTAGTTCCCGGACCACGACCTGACTGGGATCCCGATGTAGTTGCGGCGTTGGATGAAGATTTTGATTTTGATAATGAAGATAACTTGCTTGAAGACGACTTCGTGCTGAAGGCAATGGCTGAAGGTGATGACGAGGATGAGGATAATGATGAAGATGAATTATCTGATGTTGAAGAAGATGACCAAGAAGACTTTGATTCAGACGATCTAAACGAAACTGATGATCAGGAATTAATGGATCGCCTGGGACCATTGTTGCGTGAACGTCGTTTCGATGACGAAGAAACAAAGTCCCGCTTCACTGAGTACTCTATGTCCTCAAGCGTTATAAGACGCAACGAACAGTTGACACTGTTAGATGACCGTTTTGAACATTTCTATGCAACTTACGATGATCCAGAATTGGGAGATTTAGCGTGTGAAGAAATTGAAGGTGACTGGGATCAGAAACACCGCGTACTAATGGCTTGTTACAGGGAACACAAACGAGGCAAAAAAGTCGAGGCATACAATAAAGAGTGGGATCGCGAACGTGTCGAAAGATATCGCAATATTGCGGAGGGGGAAGAAGACCCAAATGATGAGCTAGTGGAAATGGAAATGAATGACGATAAGCAGAAAAAATGGGATTGTGAATCCGTGCTTTCCACTTATTCCAATATATACAATCATCCTAAACTCATCGAAGAGCCAACACGTAGAAGTCGTCGCAGCAGTAAGGCTGATTCAAATGAGGGAGTAAATAAAATAGAAATTGATCCAAAAACTGGATTGCCTACAAATGTTTTAAGAAATGGTGATAATAATCAACTTACTGAGAAAGCGCTATCAAAACTTGATAAAGGCATGATTTCGAATGGCCCGAAATCGCTATGCAATAAGTCTCTTATATCTACTTTAAGTGTACTATCTATCAGACCTAAAGATGAAGCGCCGGAAGAAAAACGGGAACGCAAACGGCTACTGAAGGAATATCGCATGGAACGACGTATCGAGCGGAAGGCAAACGCACAGGCTTTTAAGGAGGAGAAGAAACGGCAAACGCATGTAAAAATCAATCAAAATTGTAATCAACAGGGTAAGCAAATTGTTTAATTTTGAAATTAATGTGAAAAAACAATACAAAAAATGTATTATAAATGTATTCTCATAGCAAATGGTTGAGTTAGAAATTCGTTTTGCCCAGTAATTTTTTAGGACTCGCGTTTAAAGTTTTAAATTTGCTCCAAAAAGACGAGATCCATATTGCCTTACGCGAAAACTACCCACCTTAAAAGGCGAAATTCGTATTGTACCTAATAAAAAAAATAAAATTGATCGTGCAGTTCTAATTTCACACAATATCGTCAGTTAATGCCCTTTCTAACGATATACAATAAATTTCTTTTGAAGCAAATAGAGTTATTCATCAACTTTTAATAGCCGGTAAAGTGTAAACTACATACAAGGTTGCATATATAAGTTACATTGGAGGAAACAAGTAAGTTCATTATTTATATATCGACTGCTGAGTGGAAAATCGACCTATTTCGGCAGCCAGTTCGAAAACGTCCTATCTTAAAAAACGTTTAAGAAACGTATTTCACAATTTGGTTGAAGAACACCCTATCTCAGACTTCGTTTCAAAAACGCCCTATCTCAGCTGCCAATTCAAAAACACATCAGCACATTTTGAAGTGAGATAGGGTGTTTTTGAACCGAAGATGTTACTGGCCNCTGCTGAGTGGAAAATCGACCTATTTCGGCAGCCAGTTCGAAAACGTCCTATCTTAAAAAACGTTTAAGAAACGTATTTCACAATTTGGTTGAAGAACACCCTATCTCAGACTTCGTTTCAAAAACGCCCTATCTCAGCTGCCAATTCAAAAACACATCAGCACATTTTGAAGTGAGATAGGGTGTTTTTGAACCGAAGATGTTACTGGCCAATTTAGATTTTCGCCGCGGTACTTCTGAATGTCAAAATGATGTGTTTGTTGTAATATTAATTCGCCTTATNTGTTTATGCAATAACAATACAACTGAGTTGTGAGCAAAACTTTGTGAGATTTCTTGTGAGGTCTATTTTGTGAGGTTATTCTAGCCCACACCTCACAAGAAAAAAGCTCAACGAAATCACCACACGAGGTGAAAAGCATTTTGCTGTCTAACAGCGGTTACGTAAATAAAAGAAATACAAAAGATGGATGCTGAACAACAGGAAAAGTAAATATTTTTGCAATTTGTTTATTTTTTTGATAATTACTGATTTTATTTATTTTCTAGGCGAATTTAAAAAGAAATAACAAAGCAAGAGTAGCTCCAGTACTGCACACAGTTTGCGATCCACAACTTGGAGCAAAAGTTTGCATCGAAATGAAATCCTATGCCTGCTCTAACTCTTCCGAAACTGCCGCAAAAACAAGCAATAACTCCGCCATTACTGAATATACTTTTAGTTTAAAAAAAACTTAACACAGACACTGATAGCGAACGAAAATTAACAAAACATTATTCAATTGCTCAATNGGCTGTTTTTCTCTTGTGAGGGTCTCATTCGTACATCATAAATTTCCTGACAATTGTGAGCGTATGAGCTTTTAAATTTACGCCAGCATAGGGATAACCTCACAATAGTCAGAAACCTCACAGAATAGGGCTGTAACACATCTGGTGTGTTCACAGTTCGTTCCAAATTGTGTCTGAAAATGTAGACGTCT